CAATGTATTTAAATTTCTCTACAATTAGTCCATTTTAGAGATCAAATAATCTTTAAATCCATTAAAACAGTGAAAAGTTAACTTCTTGACATTATATGGTGACAAGTTTAATATTTCTTTTTAAAGGTTGATTGATTGTAAAAGATTATATGGTAACTATTGAAAAATAACTCATGTATTCACAAATTAATTTAAAAGACCAAATTGACAAGTTATAAAAAAAAATTATAACTTTATTAGTTCAAATACTGGGATATCATTTTAGACATAAAATCTGTTTTATTCCTAATTACTTCAGACGATAAATAATTTTCTATACTAATCAATGCCAATGTTTTAAATATATATATATATATATATATATATATATATATATATATTAATGGTTAATACAAATAATGAAAGTATAGAATTTATAGGGATAATTATAATTTTGGATTTTCTATTCATTTTAAAAAAATATGTTTTAATTTGTCGATTTAATTTTTAAAATTTTAAAAATATATTATTTCAATTTTTTACACCTTAATTTCATACTTAATGATATTTTGTACTGATTTTAGTTTCTCTTTATTTATAAATTTAATATTTAATTGTACATTTTTATAATATAAAAAAAATCAATTAATATTTTTAAGTTTAAAGATTAATTTATCAAGAATCAAATTATATTTATTTATTTAAAAGTACAGAAATAGTTTTTAGATCTTTTATACAAGAAATATATTTTGGTTTAAATTAGAAAAATACTTATGCAATAATTTAATTTAATTAAAATAATTTAAAGACATTGAAGATGTTATAACTAGAGTTTATCTAAAAATAATTATTTTAAACGATAAACTAAAAATATTGTTATAATTTAATTGTAATAAATATTTTAAAAGACCCGGAAGATTTGACTTAATTTAAAATAATAAATTATCTTAATTATTACGTATATAAATGAGTAGATATTAAAGTCTTATTTATATATTTATTCTGGTGAATTTTTCGTGAAATTAATTATATATATATATATATATATATAATAAAATATTATTAATTTTATTTAAAAAATACTATTATTTTATAAAATAAATCGTCACATAAATTATAAATTATGAATTAGTTTAATCTAAGTCCATTTAATTCATGATCTAAATAGATTTATGAATATTGGACCTACTTATAAAGACTTATCAATCTTGTCGTTGGGAAGGATGTTCTAAAAAAATAAAATGAGTAAATGATAAGAAGACAAACAAAATAATTTATTGGTTAAAAGAATTTTACGGAACAAACGAATAAGGAATTTATAAAGAATGTGACAAGTGAATGAGACTAACACCTATACAAAATTCAATATCTATTATAAATACAAAAATAAAGAGCATGGTTATACAACCTAACTTGGATACAAATATCTTACATAGAATTATTGGAAACTATTTTAGAAATCTCAAATAAGCTAAAACATATTCATAATTTGTATATATAATATATAAAAGAAATTAAGATTCACTTTGATATGAAACTTAAAAAAAAAAACATTAATGAGAATAAGTTTTACAAAATAGTCTAAATTTAACTTGACTTTTTAAAATCAAATTTGCTATTAAAGTTTACACTTAATTATATACTTCATCTAGTTATGTGGACGATATGAAATCTGCAATGTGTCTCTCACATTAAGAATTAGACATCTAAAATTTAGAATTAAAAAGTAATAAATTATTTGAGAATCTAACCAATAAGATAAATTCTTATATTATTTTAAAAAATAAATTTAGATTTGAATTAATTATATAAATATGACTTTTAAGTTTATGACTGCAATTACTTATACATTATATTTTAAATCTCTTATAAACTTCATTTCGCCAAAAGATTAATTCACATGCTAACAAGTTAGCCGGTTAATACTTTTTTTATATATATATTTTTATAATATATATTTAATTATATAAATATTTTTTAAAATTTTATTTATTAATTAATAATTTTATTAGATAAATTAAAAATATTATATTTATATATTAAAATAATTAATTATAATAAATAATTTAAACTTGATTAATTTTTATAATTTAAATTATAATATTATAACATATTTATATATTTCAATAACATAATATAATAAAATATAATATTTTTAATTATAATTTTTTTATTTGTATTTTAATATATAAATATTTTTTTAAAACATAATAGTGAAGTAATCTTTCTTTAATCCGACAGATTAACGAATTAAACTGGATAAACTTATTTTTATATATTATTTTTAATTATATATCTATAAATATATATATATATATATATACAATTTATTTATTATATAAAAGTAATAATTTAATTATCTAATAATTTATTTTGTAACAAATTTTAATTTTATAAAAACAAATATTAAAAATAAAATATTGTATTTAATTAAAAGACGTCTCGTGGAAAAATTATAAATAATTTTGGTTTTAAGAAATTAAACTGTAAAAATAAGAATTAATCCTATAAATAGTATATTTTTTTAAAAATTACTCAATTAAAAATCTCAATTAATTTATTTAACTTTTTTTTCTTGTACATTTTTTTCTCTCTCCTTACCACTCCTTATTTCTCTTGTTTTAGCTCACTTTTTTTTTCTCTGGCCTTCTCTCATTTATTCTTTTTATTAAAACTACTATATTGAAATTTAATAAAATTGTTTTAGTACATTTCTTTTAAATCAATATTGACATTAAAATTAAAAAAATATTAACTAATTATTTAAAATTATAATGATAATAAATAATTTTATTTATTATGACAATAAATAATTTTATTTATGACAAATTACTAATTTTAAATTATTTTTATCGTAATAAATCAATTACTTATTTAATTAAAAAATATCAAATATTTATAGATAAAATATATTTTTTATTTAGTAATTTAATCTAGTTATAATTAAATTAAGTAATGAAGATTAGTCTTATTAGGTAATTTTAAAAAAGTATTTATTAAAATTTACTTTAAAATAAATATTTATTTATTTTTTAATAATTATAACCTAACAATTTAGGAATAAATTATATGAATAATATATTTTAAAAGAAAAATTACTCGAATAAAATATCTATCAAGTTATTTATCCAAATACACCTATTTACTATATGCAGTTTTTCTTCTCTCTTTACGAAAATCTCTTTTATTTTTTCTCTTACCTCATTCACCCCTTTTTTTTATTTACATCTTTTATTTTTGTCTCTACTATTCTACTTATTCTCCTAATTAATCTACTATATTAAAATTTAATAAAAAAAATATACTAAAATGAATATTTTAAAATAATAATAAAACTAAAAAAATATTAACTAATTATTTAAAATTATGAGGACAATAAATAATTTTATTTATTTTGAAAATAAATAATCAATTTAAAATTATTTTATCATAATATATAATTACTCACCTAATTAAAAAATATCAAATATTTATAAGTTAAATATATCTGTTTTATAATTTAATATAATTAGAATTAGAATGAGTTACGATAATTAGTTAGATTAGATAATTTTAAAAAATAGTTATTAAAAATTACTTTAAAATTAGTATTTATTTTTTTCTTAATAATTATTACACAACAATACTTTTTTTAACATTTTAAATTTATTATATAATATTTTTTAAATATAATATATTAAATTATAGTAATTCTAGATTATTTAAATATATTTTTTTTAATAATAATAAAATATTCACTTTGTCAAAGTTCAATCTACTATTTTTAATTGAAAAATAAGATGGTAGAAGAAACCGAAAAAAGAATAACAAAAAGTAAATAAAGAGAAATTCTATTTTTTGTATGAACAAAGTTTACTTGAAAAAAATTAACTTTAAAAAATTTTATTTAGTAATTTTTTGTTTTAATTATATTATTTAAGAAATTGATTCATAGAAGGAACTATTACTTTTTTATTGAAGTGTGTAATTACTAATTTACAATTTATTAAATAATTAATTTTTTCTTATTTAATAAAAGATAAAACAAAACAATGCATTAACTAATGAAAATAATAATTCAGAAAAAGTAAAACTACATAGAGTAGCTACAAAAGTGCATTGAGCCCAAACAACATTTCCTGTGATCAAATAGATGGATTGGATGAAATTTTAATTCAATCCAATTTATTCAGTAAAGGTTCAATTCAATCTCTATTCATTAACACTTCTTCATGAACCTATTTCTCATACCCAACTATCTATGAAAACAATATTTTTATAAAGATAAGAAGTAATTTTCTAAAATTTATTTTTAAAAAATTAAAAAGTAAATTTGTAAATCATTTAAAATTATATTTTTGAAATATAAAATAAGTAAATTTAAAATTTTAATCATGAGAAAAACAGTTAAATTAATTTAAACCTTTAACTATAGATATTAAAAATTATTTAATTTTGAAAAATAATAAACTATTAACCATCCACGAAATTAGATAGACGAATTTGAGCAAATTCTTTTTGTATATTTTTTTAATAGAATTGAATGAATTTTTTTATTGATATGAATGATCATATAGACAAAAGATAAATTGATTGGTTTGTCATTCTAGTTTGAGCAAAATACCTGACTCGAGCTTCTTGCTATCAGAAGCTCATAAGGAACATTGATTAGACCGCTGGGCGGCCAACTGATGAGATACTAACCAGCATTAAACATACATCAGTGGCTGTTTCCAAGTGAATCTCTCGCATAATTACAATTATAATTATGAACAAAGGTGGAATACCCGAAATAGTTGCTCAATTGGTGAAGTTCAATACCAGCCAGATCACTAAATAAACATCAAGAAATCTAACTATAATGTCCTTCAGTTACAGTACAGCAAATGCTGGATCAGAGCCGAATATACGGAGGACTAAACTTGTAAGACACTCCTCGGGTGATGAATTTTGCTTCCACAAAGCATTAAAATACTTTCGCGCTCAACTACAGTGCTTACCAACAAATTTCTATAAGGAATAGCACAATCTACAGTTTAATCCTATGCAAAAGGATTTCCCCCAAACGAAGCAACTGGTTCTGGCGTCTGGATGTTCCTGTAAATATGCAACTCAGTCAATGAATGCCTACACACAATAGACCTCCTCTTTTGCCACCATAAGAAATGAACAGACCACACTGTAATATACTGCGCTATCAAACCATTTATGAAACATGCACAACAGATCTTTTAAAAAGGGAACTTGGGATAAAAATGAAGAAGTTCACTCAGTGCCACCATGCAGCCAACTTCCTCTTCCTTGTAGAATTATTAAGGAATTCATTCTATATACTGTTGCACAGCCAACGGCCACAAAAGGGTTATCAATGCATAAGCTTGTAGACCCAAGTGTAGGTCTTTCTATGCCATTTACTTGGCTGACACCTTGGTGAGTATCATAGTGTACCTGTTTTCGGTGAATTAATTGTGCACCAATAAGCATTTAATGATCACAGTTACAGATAAGAAATAGATACCGAGAGTTTCCAGTCTTGGTAAAAGAATGAGATCCACAGAGAAAAAACCCATAACTTTCAATTTCTTGCAACCAACAAATCCAAAAATATAGAAAAAAAGAAAGCAGAGGAGAAACGATCATGTATGTCACTTACTGTAGTTGAGAACCTGGTGATTGCACCGCCATGAATGACAAACCACCTACATCAAATTATCAAAAATGAAACATAGTATTCCAGTAAGAAAAATCCATCGAAACAATTATTTGAATTGCATTTACTATAGTCATATTTTTAACACATACTGGATGTTCGAAACAGCAAAGGAAACGGAAGTAGGCAAGAATAAAATATTTTATTACACAAATAAAGTTTGAACTTTCACTAGATATTTTCAAACACTACCTTCTCCAGAAGAGGAAATATAAGGGGTCACCGGCCATGATTCAGCTATACCAGTATGGAAAGAGGCTGGAAACAGGGCATCTGGCAGAGCATCGTGCAAAGAGCCCATATCAAGAAACTGTAATTGAAAGACCAGACGTGTTAGATATAATAAACAAGTGTCTGAGGGTAAGTCACAATCTCACTGTCTCCTATATCTCATTATTCGCATTGTCATATTAGTATCTTTTCCATAGGCAGTAATTTCAGAGTATTGGAATCCATGCAATAAAAATTAACTTAAACCCTTTAGAATTTTTGAGCTGTGTAGTTGAGTTTCAGAAGGTTGCATGTGAACTGTTGATATCTGTTGTTTATGTATCTTTTAGTATTCTTTTTCAATGTTCCTTAGACTAGGGTTAAGGGTTTGGACTGAAGCCTATATCCTCTCTATTGTACCTATTTTTTCTATAGATACAATGTATCAGTGCATTTGGTCACTGTATCAAATTTTTAAATAAGTTTTCTCAAGTTGGTATCAGAGCAGGTAAGATCTCGCACTGATTTCCGATCGCCTTTGTCAGCTCCGACCGCTTTTGTCAGCTCCGACCGCTGTTAGCCGCCTTTCCGTGGCCGAAATCAAGGCCGACCATCTCCGTCCGACTCGTCGGCGTCCTCCGAGTCCAATGGTGCCCTTAGTTTTCTGGTTTGAGAACTGTGTGTGAAAAGTCCCGTGGATAACCCTACTCGCTTGCTTTATTCATCTTTTCTGGTTCAGATGGCCTCATCCTTTACCTTTACCTTCTCTGCTACTCCCTCCATAACTAGTGTTAGGCTCAACTGGAAAAATTACTTATCCTGGTCTGCTTCAGTTGAGCTTTGGTTTCTCAGTCAAGGGCATCACGACCATTTGGAGAAGGATGTAGACTTTATTTCTGCTACAGAAAGATCTCAGTGGGAGAAAATAGACTTCCAACTTTGTGCAATCTTATGACAGTATGTGGAACCAGATGTTCTTGAGCTTCTCAGGTCAATCAAAACCTATTCTTCTTTTTAGAGAAAGGTTTGATACATTTTTGCTGGTGATATTCAACGTCTCTTTGATGCAACTAAAAAAGTGACGTCATTTAAGTAGACCAATCACAACATGATGGCTCACATCGCAAAAGCTAGGGCTGCTATGGAAGAATTAAAAAAGTTTCTTGTTGCAAATACCTTAGAGGAGGTAAACACCAAACTCGATAAGCTATATATGGTTCTAATTTTGAGAAGTCTGCATTCTGACTTTGATCATGTGCGTGATCAAATCCTAGTTGGCGATCATGTTCCATCAATGGATAATCTTGTCACTAGGTTGATTTGGGTTCCTAATCTCATGGTTGATGAGAATCAGGTGGAGACTGTTGAAACTTCTGCTATGGTTGCCCCTCGGGGTCGAGGGGGAGGACGCAATAATCGAGGTGGACGTGGTAGTTCGAAAGTTCGCCATCAATGCACCTATTAGAATAGGATGGAACACACGTAGGAAAATTGTTATTCCTTGCATGGCTTTCCTGATAAGACTACCCATGCATCTAAATCGGAGAAGCCAAATATGAAGATTTCTAATGAGGAGTATCAAGAGTTTTTGAAGTTCAAATCTGGAAAGTTTAACAGTCAAGGTCAATTCAACTGCATACATTTCTCAATCTATGAAAGGTCATAACCCATGGATTCTTAATTCAGGTGCCTTTGATCATATATCTAGTAATAGTTCATCGTTTTTCTTCATATCCTATCCTAAAATTCCTTACTTAATCACTGTAGCCAATGGATCCAAAGTGAAATCTCAAGGTGTTGGCCAAGTTCCTTTAACCCTATCTCTAAATTTAAATTCTATTCTTTTCATTCTTAATTTCCCTTATAACTTGATCTCCCTAAGTCAACTTACTCGTTCTTTAAATTGTTCTATAATCTTTACTTCCAATTCTTTTATTACTCAGGAACATGGTACGGGTCGTCTGATTGGAGAAGGACATGAATCACGTGATCTGTACTATCTAAAACCAAGTCCTTCGATGTCTTATCTGGTTTCTCCTGCCCCTAAACTTTTGCATGATCGCCTGAGCCACCCAATTCTATCTAAGTTGAAACTGATGACTCCTAATCTTCAACATCTTCGAATTTTAGAGTGTGAATCTTGTCAATTAGGAAAACATGTTAAGTCTACTTTTCCTAAACAGTCTGAAACTCAATGTAATTTTCCTTTTTCAAATATTCATTCTGATGTTTGGGGACCAAGTTGTGTTTCCTCTTTTGGCTTTCAGTATTTTGTGACCTTTATTGATGAATTTTCTAGATGTACTTGGGTTTATTTGATGAAAGACAGATCTGAACTTTTGTCCATTTTTGTGTCCTTTTTCACTGAAATTAAAAATCAATTTAGGAAGATAATTAAAGTTCTCAGAAGTGATAATGCCAAAGAATATTTATCTGCCTCCTTTTCTTCTTTCTTATCTTCCCAAGGAATTTTACATCAATCAATTTGCCCTCACACCCCACAGCAACATGACATTGCAGAAAGGAAAAATAGACACATTATTGAGACTGCACGCTCTCTAATGTTGAATGTTAATGTCCCTATTCATCATTGGAGAGATGCAGTTCTCACTGATTGTTTTTTCATTAATTAGATGCCATCTTCCTCTCTTAAAAATCAAATTCCACATTCTCTTATCTTCCCAGATGATCCTCTTTTTCCATGTATCTCCTCGTATATTTGGTTGTACTTGTTTTGTTCACAATGTATCTCCATGTCTTGATAAACTAAATGCTAAGGCCATTAAATGTGTTTTTTGGGGTACTCTCGCCTTTAGAAAGGGTATAAATGTTATTCTCCATCTTCCAAAAGGTATTATATATATGTTGATATCACCTTTGAGGAAACACCCTTCTTTTCTTTCCCAATGAAAGATGGTTCATCAATTCAACAAGTTCTGCCTATACCTATTTCTTTCCCAATTCAGTCTATAGGTCATAATGATTCACTTCCTACACCTTTACCTTTACCTATTCCTATAGATAATTGTGATTCAGATCCGTCTCCATCAGTTTCTCATACCATGGATCCTTTAACTTTACCTCTCACTGCTGATTATGGCTTGCCTATTAAACATAGAAAAGGTACTCATTCCACTCACAATCTCTTTCCTATTTGTAATTTTTTAAGTTACCATCGTCTGCCTCCTTCATATTCTTCTTTTGTTGTCTCTTTAGCTAATACGTCTACTCCTAATAATGTTCATGAGGCACTTGATCACCCTAGATGACGACAAGCCCGGATTGATGAAATGCAGACACTTGAGCACAATGACACTTGGGAGCTTGTTCCTCTTCCTCCTGGCAAAAAGGTTGTGACCAATAGGTGGGTCAATGCAATTAAAGTTGATAATAATGGTAAAGTGGATCGTCTTAAAGCTCGTTTAGTAGCAAAAGGCTACAATCAAATTTATGGTCTCGACTACTGTGATACCTTCTCTCCAGTAGCTAATATTTCCACTATTCGTCTTTTCGTTGTTATAGCTGTGATTCACCATTGGTCTCTTCACCAACCGGACATTAAAAATGTCTTTCTTTATGGTGATCTTGAGGAAGAGATTTATATGGAGCAACCTCCTGGCTTTATTGCTTAGGAGGAGTCTGGTTTAGTGTGCAAGTTACACCGATCTCTTTATGGCTTGAAGCAGTCACCCCGAGCTTGGTTTGGAAAATTCAACCATGTTGTGCAATTGTTTGGCATGAAAAAGAGTGAAGCAGACCACTCAGTGTTTTATTGTCGTTCCTCTTCAGGCAAGTGTGTGTATCTTATGGTTTATGTTGATGATATTGTTATTACAGGCAATGATTATATTAAGATCAGCCAACTGAAGAATCATCTGTTTGCTCACTTCCAAACCAAAGATCTTGGTCAATTGAAATATTTTTTTGGTATTGAAGTGGTCCAGTCAAAGGAAGGTGTGATCATCTCTCAAAGGAAGAATGCTCTTGATATTCTAAAGGAGACTAGTCCAACAAATTGTAAGCTCATTAATATCCCAATGGACCCTAACCAAAAATTGATGAAGGATGAAGGATGAAGGATGAAGGAGAAAAGTTTTTAGATCCAAAAAGATATAGGAGGTTGGTTGGTAAACTCATTTATCTTACTATTATCAGTCCAAATCTTTCTTATGCAGTTAGAGTAGTTAGCCAATTCACGCAAAATCCTTGTGTTGATCACTGGGATGCCTTGATTCGCATTTTGAGATATATTAAAGGGGCCCCAGGACAAGAGTTGTTATATGAAGATAAAGGTAATACTCAAATTTTTGGTTATTGTAATGCAGATTAGGCTAGTTATCCAATTGATAAAAGATCGACTATTGGGTATTGTATCTTTATTGGAGAAAATTTGATTTCTTGAAAGAGTAAAAAGTAAAGTGTTGTTGCTCGATCTAATGTAGAAGCTGAGTATAGATCTATAGCACTTGCTATATGTGAACTTGTGTGGATCAAACAACTCCTTCAAGATTTCAAATTTTGTGATATAGGGAAAATGAAGTTATTGTGTGATAATGAAGCAGCTCTCCATATTACCTCTAACCCAATCTTTCACAAAAGAACAAAACATATTGAGATTGATTGTCATTTTGTTAGAGAGAAGTTGTTGCCTAAGAAACTTGTAACTGAATTTATAAGCTCTGTTAAGGTTCCAACATAAAACCAATTAGCAATATGTGGAGTAGCCTAACATGTATTTAAACCATACCAAATGACATGAGGTAGGCGATGTGGGACTTTCAACACACCCCCTCCAACGAAGCCTGCCGGACCAGGCAAAGAGTATTTTTGACCCAACTAAAGGGCAACTTTTGGCCCATGACAATAACCGGAAAGATGTTAGGCTTTGACTCTGATACCATGTTAAGGTTCCAACATAAAACCAATTAGCAATATGTGGAGTAGCCTAACATGTATTTAAACCATACCAAATGACATGAGGTAGGCGATGTGGGACTTTCAACAAAAGAACAAAACATATTGAGATTGATTGTCATTTTGTTAGAGAGAAGTTGTTGCCTAAGAAACTTGTAACTGAATTTATAAGCTCCAATGAGCAACTGACAAATATTTTAACTAAATCCTTAAGAGGATCGAGGATTCAATTCATTTGTTTCAAGATTGGTACATACAATTTATATGCTGCAGCTTGAAGGGGAGTGTTCAGATCTGTTGTTAATGTATCTTTTAGTATTCTTTTTCAATGTTCCTTAAACTAGGGTTAAGGGTTTTAACTGAGGTCCATATCCTCTCTATTGTACCCTTTTTTTCTATAAATACAATGTATCACTCTATCAAATCCTAAATAAGTTTTGAGCAGTGTAGTTGAGTTTCAGAACGTTGCATGTGAACCAAATAGAAAGGCTGCAAGTTATAATGATGAAATGAAATTATCAAAATCACTTGCTTGGAACCTTCAAGAGTGAGATTAGGGGAACTATTACCAATGAGTCAAAATTTTGCAGAAGTATTATTAGGAACCAGTTTAATGAGGTATACTAGAAATATAAAACAACAGATAAAAAGCTAGTTGTTCACTGTTCATGGCATACCATATCGTTGTGATCTACATCAGATTCATGAGGATAATCAAATGGATTAGTTGTTTTACATTTCATTCCATTAGCTTGAATATCCCCCTGAAAGAAGAAACATATTATAGAGACCAAAAACATAGAAAACCTATCACTTAATTGAATATAAAAATTTTTCAATCAACAGAAAACAAACCGTTGGAGGAATTATTAGTGGGGGATACGCTAAGCAACTGACATGAGATGGGATCTCATGACTATCAAAACCACCAACAGGGGCAATGCCTTTAACTCCATCTTTATTGGACCCCTGATTTTTTTAAAAAGAAAGAAGCGTGAGTGATAGGAGTGCTTGTGAATTCTTCAAGGTCATAAAACTATCAGGTAAAATAAAACAGGAGCGTGTAACAACCTCATACTCTCTTAATCCCAAAATTTGATTATCAGCTGAGGGCAAATTGTGCATTTGTAATCCTTGACTAAGGGCATCCACAGGATGATGGGCACCAGAATCTTCAAATGCATTCCATGGCTATACAAAGTACAAACAACACATGAAACCTTATACAATTTTCAATATACTTCAAAACATCTTGAAATTTAACCAGGAACAAAAGCAATGGGTGTCCAATAACTTATTTATTTCTGAACAGACACAATACACAAAACCATAAATAAGTTTCAATTTATTCTATAATATCTTGAAATTTCACCACAAACAAAAGCAAGGGATAAATAAATTTCTGATGGATTATTTCACAAGAATCGAAAACCAGCCATCAACCAAACATTCTGGTACTTACTTGAGTGTTTCCTGCCATAGTAGAAACCTGTTCTTCTCTATTCCACAGACCATCATGCCATGAATTAGATGTAAGCGAAGAAGGTATACCGACACCAGAAAATTCAAAAGACGGCCATTGTGTGTTTGCATTTGAGGTGGAAAATGGATCAAATCTTTCTTGTAAAGATTTAGCACTTGAGGGTACAGTTGCAGGAATTTCAACTTGTGCAGTAGAGGAGGTGCTCTGAGGCACATCAAAAGTTGCCCATCCTTCATTTTTAGGGACAGATAACTCCAGTGCCTTTTCATTTGAGGTTTTAGTAGTAGGCTGCTCAGATAGATTGGCAAACAAATTAATAGATGCAAGCTGGGATGTTTGAGTAAGATGATTCTCATTGAAAGATGGAGCTGCAGATGAAAAAGATGATTGAAACAGATCCACTGTTGGAGCTTGAGACGCTGCTGTTGATTCCAATGGTGCTTTGGAGAGATCCATGCTAACAGATCTTGTAGGACCAGGTGGTCGTGGAATGCCAAATGCTTTACTCTGAAGTGGTTCCAAAGGATGAACAGGTTCAGAGAAAAAATCAACTAAACTGCCAGAATTATAAGATCTCAAGGATGAAAATTTGTTGTCTGCCAATTGTGCTGATGCAATTCTCTGCATTATGAGTACATATTACAGCCATGCGAAGAGAGAACACACAATCAGCTTGATACAGAAATAAGGCGACATCACAAGCACTTGGAAAGTGCAATAAACACAATCATTCAAAAGAATGCTTATTCACCAAGGAGTTTGAAACAATGTGTTAAAGCCCAGATAACAGCATGTAGTGACAGGCTCCAGAATGCTATAGTAAGATAGTGTATAGCAGGATATCTATTATTTTGAAATTGTTAATAGCTCATATAATGTATACTATATACACAAATTCTCAAAAATGATAACAATTACTCACAATAGCATTCATAATTAACAATAAAAAGGAAAAGATGTCTTAAACAAAATATACAAGTAAATACCAACAAAAGTCACATAGAAGTATCCTGGATAGGAATTATCAATCATCATCTACTAGATTCAAGGCTTTATTATTTTCACTATTATTACATCTATAGAGATCAATTTTGGAATTAAAATCCAAAAAACATCCCTACAATAAAAGTCTTAATGTCTCTGTTCAGAGGTCTTTTTTCGAATCAACACACAGCAACAGTAAAGCACCCACTATAGTAGCAACTCAGCCCGTTATTTGGACAGCAACAGCATCTACACCAAACTGCTTCACTACAACAACCCCTGTAGCACTATTTAAAACCCTTGTTTGAAGAATACTCAAACCAATCTCTTGGTTATTTAGGAAAGGTGATATTTGAATGCTTGGACTTTATTTTAATAGATCTTCTCTAAATAGTGCTGACCGACCAAGAAATCCATTATTATCAAGAAGCTCAAAGACTAAATTTTCTCTGACCTAGATTTGTAAACTGCTGCACTGAAAAGTTTATCTTTACTATCTTTAGAGGTCAGAAAACGTAATGCTTTTCTAATAACTTTTTTATCTTTCCTATGTTCATATCCTATACTTGTGCCATATGACCATAATAAGAGCTTTAATTACATTATTTTACTTGATAATAATTTTCATCCTAAACTATAAACAGCATGCAAGCAATATGTTATTTAATTCCTACAGGAAAAGCCAATTATTCTGTGGATAATAGTCTAATCTGACACCTGCGGATGACAAATTCCATCTGCGTCTCTCTTTGCATTCACATTAGCTTCCAGAGATGCATTTCTTGCTTGGGACCACACATCTTCACTTGAACTGGAATCAGAACGCCTCTGGGAGGATGGACTGCTAACATTAATATCCTTATGAAAATTGGGAGACTGAACATCAGATTTGAATTGTTCTCCACCACTAAACACGGAAAAGTCAGAAATTCTTGGACCAGATCCCTCATTTGCAAATCTGTCATCATATGCATGATCACTGAAGCGGCCAGGACTGTAGATAATACTAGAAATCTTCCTTTCATATCGAGCTTTGTCCGAACCAGGCTTCCTGGTAAGTGCTGCTGCTTGTTTTCCATATCGTCGATCCTCATATTGATAATCATATGGAGGACTTTGAGAATATGAATGATAAGAACTGGCACGCCTTATCTCGTCTTCATGAATTCCAGGGCTCTACAGTTAATTGCAAATATAAATGCTCAGCATTAACAAAGGGTGAAATTAACTTGGATTACTAGGATAGTTAATGCAATTAATTATGTAAATCTGGTTACCTTAGTGATTGCTAAGGCCTCATTTACTTTATTACATGCACAAATTTTTAAGTTTCATTGAACAACTATATGCAGAATATTGAGAAAAAGATCAGTGTGATTGATCATCTTATTCATTTATTTATTTGTGAAAATGAATATAATATTTATATATTATATTTAGCATAAAGGAAGCACAAATAAATATCATAAACCAACCACAAAATATAGAAACCCAATACTTTGCATGGGAAAAAGGGCATATCAAATAAAAGAATAAGCAATATTGCGCTTAAGAATAAAGTATTCAGAGAAACAAATCAGAATCTAAGTATATATTGCCTGTGCATCTCTTGGAGGCTTTTCTGATGACTTCACTGCAGCATATCTTCCATCCACATATACAGTCTTTATAAAATCCCTTATTTTATCAACATTGCTGCAAAAGCATGATCACAATGCCACAAAATAAGTAATACATATTAACATAGGTAAAGTTACTTAAAGAGATTTAACTGCAAACCATGTAATAGTTATACCTGTTATCTGGTAACCGCTGCCTTTGGAAGTCCCAATTTTTCAAATATATTTCCCTTGCACGCTAAATCGAAGAGCAACATTTAAATCTAATTTCAAAAAGGAAATATAAGTAGCTTCCACTGTAAAAAAGAAGAAAATTCACCCCTTTACCTGGTTACCCCCACTTTGAAGAGCATCGACTTCTTGTGAAGTGAACTTTGCCATTGAGACGGACTTCACACGATGAGTAAACTCACGACTGCATGACAAGAAAAATAAACAGGTGATTTCAAGAATCATACAATATATAGAACTACTATAACCACCATCACAACCAAGCCCTTTCTAACTAGATGCAGTTGGCTATATGAAAAATATAAAAAGGAATACTTATTGATTATATTATAAAGCATAATTGATCACCATTCTAGAAACACAAACAAAGCTTATACTATTGATTATAAGATTAATTCAGATTATATGAACATAGTTTAATATATTAAAAAGATTTCAAATATCTACTTTCAAAAACAATAATTATAATGAGGCTTTCAATTTTTCTATGATTTTATCTTATCTGTTGTTAAAATGTTCAAAGGTAAACCAGAAATATATAAGATGTCCATTTGGAAATTTGTTCTCAAATTATTGTCAACTACTGCAAAACACATAGTTTCTTTATTATTTAAAAAAAAAAAAAAAAAAAAAAAACTTAGTAGTATATAATTGACGAAATACTGCATGTTCGGATTATTTTCCACAAGAGATTCTAACATTCAACGACATTGCATACAGGTTCTGACTTAAAGGTACATATATATTATAACAAATAGCTCAAACTTGACATCAAGCCTCTGTGGGTTTTTTTTTCTCCATCAATATCCACATCTCCTTTAATCATTGTGGAATTGAAAAGCTATAAAAAGCATCCTTCTTCAGATTTCAAGAAAATCAAAAAGGGAAAATATAAAGCATGAGTTAATGAACTGAGAAGAAGCTTACTGTATTCCACTGCATGTCATGCAAATGAAAGTCCAAAAGCTTGTACATACATATTGTGGTCCCTGTACAAATAATGACAGATCCATTAGCTGGTAATCCGCTCATAACAAAGACAACATTCACAAGTTCTTTTCCCAACTACTTAGGTAATAATCAAGAATAAAACATCACACAAAACCAGGAAAAGAAAAACAGATGAACAATTTAAGTACTTTTTTAAAATAATAACCTTAAGCAAATGCTAATAATCAGTCTCACTATTGTCTAAACCCTAAATATAAGTGGTTTTCAAAATAAAAAATAAAAAAACAAAAGAACTAACTTAAAAATTAAAAATCTCAATGATAAATTCTTGAATTGAAACATGTGCAATGCTTCCAAGTTCTCAACAACTATGCCCACTTCAGCATTAAGACTTACATCTTTCTAAGCTTCAAATTAATCATTAAATCCACAACCCAGAACATAAGAAACTATAACACAATTTCACTAAACCAAAAATAGAAAAATGATAAATCAAATTAAAAAACACGAGTCGAATTTACCAAGCTGTTGCAGTTGATACATCTTCTATTAGGTGGAAGCTTCATGAGACCTCTGATAATTTTCTCGTTCTTCTCTTCTTCTTTTCTACTCCCCATCTCCTAACCCCAACTCAGAAACAAATAAACCCAATAAAATGCAATCGAAATCGCAGAAAAAAAATCGAAGATATTCGAAGTTTGGAAACAGAGAACGGAAATATTCCACCACCCACGGAAATGGAGGTGGTGGCAGAGTTCGATCTAGGGTTTTGGGGTTCCTGAATTGGGGAAAGGTAGAAGAAGACTGGCAAAAACCCTTTGAGTTGTATGTTCACATAAAATGGATGAACAACGGAACAAGAAATACAAATAGAAGAAACGTTTTCCTTGTTCACTCTCTCTTTCTTCGTTTCTTTTTTTTTTTTTTTTTGAATTTTAATTTTTTTTTTATACATATGTTACCAATAATTTTATTTGATTTAAAACTGTAAATTATATACTTTCTTTTATATTCCATCAACCATAGAGGATAAACAAAAAATTAAAAGGGATTAATTAAGACAAATAAAAATTTATTAAAAAAATATTATTATAAAAATTAATAATTAAGACAAATAAAAATTTATTAAAAAAATATTATTATAAAAATTAAACATTTATCTTGGAATAATAAAAAATTATTTACTTTTCTAAATCAATATTTGATTTACTCTTATTCATTATTTTAAAAACATTTTAAAAATTATATATAAATAATAAATATTTAATTTAATTCAAAAGTTTTCTTTCATTTCTCTCCATATGTTTTCACGTTTTTTCCGGGAACCAGATTATTTCTTGGAAAGAGGGAAGAGGGGCGGGGTCCACAAGTAACGTGCATATGATTTGAATCTTTAATGGAATGTTTTCTTACAATTGACGTATAATAATATAACACAGAACATATAAAAAAAGTTATATTATTAAATAATTAAAAAACATAACTATTATGATTTAAAGTAATTATTATAAAAAATTTATAATTGTAAATATGATTATTTATAGTTAGATAGTTATGTAAAATAATTATGTTATTATTCTGTTTAAATTAAATTAATATTAATATAATGAAATAATTAATAAATTGTTCGTAATCTGAAAGTATTTGTTTGTAGGGCTAATATAAAAATTATTAGTGTAAATATTTGCATTCCTTTCAATTAGTAAAAGTCTAATATAAGTCTAATATAAACCAGCATAAGTGAATATATTTTTAATAAATTTAAATACTTTTTTACTTTTAATATATAACAATAGAAGTATATATAATCTTAATTTAATTTAAATAATGTTAAATTCTTACACATTTATATTAAGTGACATAATTTTTTTTTTGAAAAAATAATAATTAATTGGTTTATTAATTAATTTATACCTTTGTTAGCACTTTTTTTTAATTGAATAATTTCAGTCTCAATGGCAACTCCCTATGCTAGTATCATTTTTATTTTATTTTAAACTTTTTTTGTCCGCACTTAATAGGAATATTTGGGATTGAATTTGATTTTTTAATAAAAGATTATTTAAATTAAATATAAAAATAAAATATAATTTCATTAAATATTAATTTATTAATAAATATAAAATATTCATAATTTGGAGTTTATTTATTATGTAATTATTAAATAATTTTAAAACAATTATACAACATGTTTATAACATAAATTATTAAATACTTTATAATAAAAATTTTAAATAAAAATATATATTATTAAAAAATTATATTAATTATAATTATATTCATAATTTAATTTTTCACAAATTTATAAATAAATTATACCATTTTATAATTATAAATTATGATCTAAAATTATTATTACATTTTTAATAAATATAAATATTATAAATAAAATATAATTACATATATTTATATATGTTTATTAGTTAATAATAAATTCTAAATATATAATATTATATTTATATACAAAATTATGAGAAATAATAAATCTGAAAAATTTAATAAAATTTTGATTTTGTTTATTTTTTTTTATCAATTTATAGTTATTTGTTTAGATTCATTTGCCTCTCTTTTTTTCTTTATTTGCATTTGAACACTCTTATTACTAATTTTTACTTTTTTTGTTTTTTATTTTCAAAATAAAACTTATTATTATTAACTCAAAACTTTGTCCACATAATACTTGTAGATTGCTTTTAAGTGAAAAAAAATTAATATATATATATATATATATATATGTAAATTTGGCTCAATTTATTTATAATTAAAAAGGGTTAAAAATAAAAATTAGAACTTAAAAAAAGTACAAATTATTTGTAAAATTTTATTATTTTTAACTTAAATTTATTTTTAAGACAATCGTTTGGTATGTCTTTTTATATAAAACAAAAATATTTTACTATTTTCAAAAATTATTTTGGGTCATAAAATTTTCAAAATTAAAATACTTATTAACATTAATTTAATTTAATTTACATAAAATTATTTTAATTATAATTATCACTTTGTATAACAAGCATTTAAATTTTCTTATATTGTCAAAATTACTTTAGTTAATAAAAATTATTTTTGTAACTATTTATATATAATATGATTTACTATAAATGATAAAGAAATATTTTATATTGTGGTTGAATAATATCTTTATAGAAATAAAGATTTGTTTAAATATAATTTAATAATATTAAATTACATTAAAAAAATTAAGAAAAATTTTATAACAGTATATAAATGTTAGTAAGTTTTTGAAAATCCTCAAAATATATTATTAAAATAATAGAAATTAGCATAAGATATAAGAAATGATAATTTAACGTATTAAAACAATATATATTATTTTAATAACAATCACCAAAACATTAATTCCTATCTAAAATCGTAAAATAAAACCTTTTTTACAACGTAATCAAAAGTCAAATTCAATTAAAAATGTATAAACCTTATGAAAATTTTATGGATACTACAAGAAACAAAATAAAAAAATTATTCATTAATAAAAAATTTCATCTTTATTTTTTAAAATTATAATTAATCATGCTAATTGTAGATGGTCTATTAATAGAAATATTTTCTTTAAATAAAATATTATCTTTAATCATTTTAGAAATTTTAATTAGCATTTAGAGACAAGTAAATTTAAGAGTGGTGATGAGTTGAATTATCAAAATTTTGAAAGATTTTCATAAATAGGATAACAAAATATCTACTTATCAATACCAAATTACATCAAATTGAGGAGTTTGTTCATGTATTTCAAGATCCACTTAAAGGTTTTTCGACCTTAAGAAGAATTAAACACCATATGAACCTAATATCTCGAGTTACTCTTTCTAATAGGCGAGCATATAGAAACAATCCCAAAAACATTAAGAAAATTTTAGTACAAATTGAAGGACCCATTGAGAAGAGGTGAATTAGGGAGAGCATGAACCCTTGTGCCATGTCCACTATTCTTGTAAAAAAAACATGGAACATAAATGATGTATGTTGATTATAGAGATGTATAATATTACTTAAATTTAGATATCTAATACCTAAATTAGATTATATGTTAGATGAATTGTATAAATCTAAAATATTTTCAAAAATTGACTTGAAAAGTGGTTCCAATCAAATTAGGATTAGAAGAGATTAATAGAAAATTGTTTTCAGAACAAAATATGATTTATATAAATAAATGGTTATGTCTTTTAGCTTTACTAATATACCTAGTACTTTTATAAGATTGGTGAGTCATATGCTTAGACCTTTTGTTGGTAAAATTATGGTAATGTATTTTAGTGACATTCTCATTTATAGTCTAATTTGAATTAGCATGTGGAGTATCTTAAATCAGTACTAGGAGAAATTCTTTCTATGCTAATAAAGAAAAATGAACTATGGAAAGCATAATATTTCTTATATATGTGGTGATTTCTAAAATAGTGCATGATGATGATAAAAAAGTGAAGGCTATATATGAGTGGTCCATTAATATTAATGAAGTAAGAAACGCTAACGAGTTAATTAGTTTTTATAGGAGGTTTATGTTTAACTTTAACATGTCCTTTGAATGATTGTAAAAAAAAAAAATATAGACACGTGGGTATAAATGGGAGTGAAAGAACATGTATTCATAAATTTCAAACGGTATTTTATCTAATTCTCTCATAATTTTTTTTTAAAAGGTAACATGAAAAATATGATTTCATATATATATATATGAAAATAGGGAATATAAATCATAAGAGACCAAACAAAAACGCACGAAGCAAATTAAATAAATCTAAACCCAAGGATTTTAAACATATTCCTTAAGAAAGCAACTTGCACACTAAAAGATAAACATTTAACCAACAAAAAGTAGATTGAAGATTAAACATTAAGTTAGTAACTAATAAATACAATGATTATATTTCCTAAAACATGACACACTCTGAATATCATATAAATATATAGTTTTAAGTATAACTTTCACTTCCACTTTTTTTATTTATTATTTACTTGTTATAGTTCATTACATCAAAATTGAGATATATACTTGAAGTTCACTGAGTTTAATTCAATTTGACTGGGTGACCGATGTACTTTACAACAACAAAATATGACATTTTGACTCTATTAGAAATATATTAAGCAAATTGTTGAAATGTTTCACATGGAATACAATAGTTTAATGAGTACTCTTATGAATATAATGGAGATGTATACTAAGAAAAATAAAATTTAAAAAAATGGACGAGTCATACGTTAAGAGTTTGATTTAGTACTTTATGTACCTTACAAAAACAAATAATAAAAATTATAATAAATGACCTATTAGCTCAACTGGTTAGAGTATCATGTTAATATAGTGAAGGTCGAATGTATGAGACCTAGATGGGCCACTATATTAGCTTGGTTAGTTTGTCTTTAAAACTCATTGGTTATGTTTAGATTTTTTTTTTTTCCTTTTCTTTACCTCTTTGAGTTAAGTTTGAATTTATTACATATTTCATTTGAATGTAAAATTCTTGATGAGTTCATTGTGAGTTCTTCTTAAGAACTAAAGAGGAATTTCAATGAAA